AGCGGTTTGTCGTATGTCTCTTCTCAATAGTACTTCGGTTGTGTTCATCATTACTTGATGAACCAGGGTATTTAGATGCTTTTTGTTTGCTGACTTCTGGATGTGCTTATATCACAACATTAACTTTAATTGCCTTTCCTAAGTTGCCAAGTATGCTTTGGAGATGTTTTTCTATTTTATCAATGAGGGCAAATAAATTTACATTCATTATTTCTGAAAATAGCTGCTGTACATTTCTTCGCTTTATTATTGGCTTCGTTCTACTAGGAACCTCACTTTAGGTCACTAGTCTATTTTGATCTTGGTGGGTGTTGACATGTGAGATGGTGAGGGAGTGGTGAAAGTCAAAGTTTTATTATGGAAATTACTTACAATAGGATATTTACACAATTGGATCGTTTCACGGCGAAAAAAATTCACGCCTTAGGAGATTATAGCAAATGTAGGCTTCAATGAGTTTGCGTTTGCTTTAATGGCTTAGGAATGTAAGGTGTAACAGGGTTTCATCGAGTCTCCGCTTGAAAGATTCACTAGTTGGTGCACAAACTACGTGATGTGGAAGGGTGTTCCAAGTACTGCATACTATGACTGCAAAAGATTGGCGCCGGCATTCCAGTCGACACTTTGGAATCATTAACTTGAAACGGTGTCCCCTAATGTGTACATTGTTCGGTAACATGAGCAGCTGCCGACATGGATGGTTTGGGTTCTACAGTATTTGATACGTCAAAATCAAGTCTCTTCGAATTCGGCGGCACTGAGCAGAATATAGTATCAATAATCGTAATCTTTCCTCATAGGTGAGGCAAAGCAATCATTTGACCATCTTAGTGGCCGCTCAAGCATCTTGCGATCACTTTGCAACCATGAGCTCCAAGCTTGAATGGCGTACTCTGTGTACGGTCGATTGTACACTGATAGCAAACGTGGGAACAGTGCTGATTCCAACCGACCAAAGACTCGCCTAAGTAAGCCTACATTCTTCACAGCAGCGGACGAAGTCTTAGCACAGCAGCTTAAATCCCCTTGAACAACAATACCTAAGTTTTTTTCATTTGAAGTATGTGGTAGCTGCTGATTCCTGAGGAAATACGAGAATCTTCTCTTGTGGCGTAGGGATAGGACTTTACATTGAGAAACATTGAATTCAATGTCTTCCTTAGATCGTTGATAAGCTGCGTCAAGTGATGCTTGAAATGTTAGAGAGCCCTCAGATTCTGTTACTGTATTCCAGATTTTGGCGTCGTCTACAAACAGTATTGTTTTAGACCTAAAGCTTCCGGTAGATCATTTATGAATGCGAGAAACAGACGGGGACCGAGTACGGACTCTTAAACACCGCGGGTGGCATTGCTAAATCCGGATATGGAATCAGAAACACGAACTGATATGGTCCGTTGTTGGAGGAATGCTCCAATCCAATCAAACATAAAATCTCGAATGTCGTAATTGTAGAGCTTCTGTAACAAGATTCGGTGATTCACCCGAGCAGATGCCTAGATTCTATCTAGAAGTTGAGATAAATCACATCCCCCGCGTCCCCTTTGTCGACTGTTCTGGTTCATCTTGAACAAGAAGGAGGTTGGTGGAGTAGGATCGCTTTTGCTTGAACCCGTGTTGAGCTGTCGAAAGAATGTTGTATCATTCGAGGTGTTCCATCAGAGAATCTGCCACAATTGACTCCATGACTTTTGACAACACCGGAAGCAGGGTTACAGGTCGGCAGTTAGCGGGGTCACTTTGACAACCACCTTTGTATATGGGCGAAATAATTCCTTGTCTCCACGATTCCGGGAGTGTTGCTTGATCGAACATTTGCTGCAACAGAATGGCTAGCGGTTCGGATATGTGATTCGCCAAAATGATCGGGAATTTCGGGTGTATATTGTCCGCATCTGAGGTTGCGTTTTTTCGCAAAGCCATTAGTTTTGCTTTGACGTTATCAGCAGTAAATGATACGTGGGTCAGTGAAGGATATGAAAGATGATGCAACCGGAGAGCTAGCTGTAGACCTTCAACCTGCGGTGCTGCGAAAACGTTGGACTACTGAGTTTTCAGCTGCTTTCACTGGAGTGGCTGCAACTCTTCCAGCGCTGCTTATTGCCGGTATGCCAAACTTTATTTTCCGAATTGAGTTAACGTGCTTATACAACGGCTTAGGGTTAGAAATGAACCCCTGTGCTGGCGCCTCTTGGTATTTCAGTTTATCCTCACGAATCAGCCTGGTGCTGTGGTTCCTCATCATACGATAATCATTCCACGTGACAACAAGCACCGAAAGCACCGCAACGGCAAGTTCTAGCCTAGGAGCAGATTCTGCTCGGACTGGATTCACTCTGTACTTATTATTAAGTTACATTGCGCGTGACCATCTGTATCTTCCATGGGGATGTATATCCCAGCTCTATACGCTAGCCTTGAGGCGTCCGAGAAGCTCTGCTGTTATGTTGATAACTCTGTTAGACTAATTGGTTCCAGGTGTCACTGAAAAGCAAAGTGTGTCCAGCAGTACGAGTCCAGCTGACCAACGATCCTGGTGTTCCATCAAGAGTTGCGAGTCCCAGTCCGATTGATGTACGACTAGGTCTTGCAGTAAAAGCTGCACTTCAAGTTAATCATGCGCTTTTGTGTGTATGTCTTCTTGGGATGAAGGGGTAGAAGAAATATTGGAAAGTTGAAAGTAGAATGAAAGAGCAAACGGTGAAATCCAGTAGACCAAGGTTGTAAAGAAAGCAGATGCATGAAAGCCACTGTTTACGATACTGAGCCATAAAACTCAGTGTCTCTAACCATCGATGATCACCATACCGAGGTCCACATCCAGGAAGTCCAACGCGACCTGTATAACCGAGTCTCCTGATAATAGTTTTATACCCTCATGCCATGTCTTAGTTTGAGCATCCCTGGCTTTTTCCCCCTGCCTGCCTCGGTGAACATCGCATACCGTGGCAATCTATTGGGTTATATGCTTAACCCGTGCTCCAAACAACGTAATCTATGGAGTTCGGTGATTTGTTCCAGTAGACGACCGCGGTCACCCAAAGCTCCGCGCCTAACCTCAGCACTGCTTGCCCGGTTGCTCCCATCAGACTTGTGCAATACTGTGTAGACAACGGTGTTCAAACATCGATAGTCTATGTTTGTCCTGTTTTCCCGATGACGAAGGTTCTCTGCCGTATGACAGAACTGACCGAGCTGCCGCATTATACACTCAATTCTTCACGGACAGCTGGACGCCGCGACGGCGTCACAGATGTCTCAACTTAACGAATGCCAATTGGGCCTTCGTTATGCGAGCTGCCACTTCATCCGTGATACGTCCACCGGGTGAGATATAGCTGTTCAAAGAACAAAACTTACCCACTTTTTCTATTATTTCCCCAATTACGGTGAGGTTTGGAGCTAGACCAACCCAGTCTTGTAGCAGTATTTGCACTTTGAAGGGGGGAAATTATACTGAGCATGGTTATGCTGGCACTCAAACCATCCAGAAAAGCACTTCCAGTTTTACAGAAGAGACAATATCTTGTATATCACATACAGAAACGACAAAGCATAATACATTCCGACGAGTTCTTTTACCTTGGAATCTTCTTGGGATAAACCATATGCGGTCATCAATGATAGTTCAACACATTCCGAGTGTGCCAATCCATATTGCGCTCACCACTACAGGTCCTCTATGGGGATTCAAACAAATTTTCCGTAACACCAAACCATCTTTCTTGTCGTACTATTTGCGCTTAATCTAGTCATTCTTGCTGTCAGTTTGTCACTCTCCTACGCGCTAGAATGTAGATAATGAGTTAGTGCGTAACACAGTGAGGTGGAGGAGATATTGATATTTTGCAACGTGAAGAGAATGCGAATCCGGTTGGTCTTATGTCTGATCATCAAGTAAGTTGAACGCATGCGTTCCTTTCATGTCCCGGGTTCACTGATTGCTTGGAACCAATGTACTCTTCCTGTTCATAATGCCTAGTAATGTAAAACAAAACAGCTTAACAGTGCCTCTTGAGTGTTCAGCTCGCGTCTTTTGTGTTCTTTATGTAACGAATTCAATTCTGTAATTGTATCAAATACACCAATGCTGAATCTATCATTTCTCCAACCGCTAACTGGTAAGCATTCGAATACATAGTTCGATATAATGGGTTATCAATTCATCTCATCTCCATAACTCAGTTCGTCGGAGTTGTTGGCGACACAGCACGACAGGTCCGACTGTGTGGTAACCGTCTTCTGACGACCGCACAACATCGTGAGGCACGTGTCTCGGAGCATCCAATAGAACTGTCTGAGCATATTGCCTGGCTCTCATCGGAACTAGCGCAGCACTCCGATCACCTGTCGTACGCAGATCGTGAACTTCTTCAGGCTTGTTTATTGCGCATGCGCACTCAGAGAAATTTGGGTCGTTCGAGTGTGCCAGACACCCAGCTGGATCAACTGGTCATTCATCTTAGCCGGGCTATCCGTGAGACGGATGGCCTGATCCGAATGAACTCCAATCCACCCTACCGACCTGAGTTGGTAAGTCATTTTACACTATGCATTTTGTGAAATGGTAAATGTGGCCAGTTGTACATTTTCGATGAAAAAATTCACATTGTCAGGAAAATTAGTTATAGAAATCAATGCTTGGATGTCTTACACCTTCCCTTTTGTTTTTATTCACTAATTATCCCAGAACGTTGAGAAAATGCTCTTTTCTATTAGCTCGCCTTTCGGATGTGACTACACCATTGCCAAGTAAATTTTTGCTGTGAATGAAGCACACTGTTGTTGCACAGGTAAAAAGTGATCCTTTGTAGAAACAACAGGTCAACTATCATCCAAATAAGTGGTTTCTTATATCGGTCTTCTTAAATAACGAAAGGTTCTCGAATGCATATCTTAGTCTAATGGACAACATGACTGACATATGTAACCACGTGGACTTGTTTATCGCTGATGGGTACCATCGACGTCGGCCCTGATTGACACTAAAGATAGAGAACTACAGAGCGCCTCAATGGGATATTGACAGGACCTCAGCTTATGGCTCTTTTTAAGCCGAATTCACCACGGAAAATGGTTTTCGTAACCGTTGTCCCATCTTCGTTCCTATTCAACTTTGTAATAATATTTTTGGTTCTGGAAGCATCCCTGTCCTCGTGAGAGAATAGTAACATGGATATGTTGCTAGATGGCAAGTGTCTGACCTGAAACGTGCATATGTTCGCCTACATTACAGCTGCTTCTCACCTGTTAGAAGCAACACGGATGAATTGTTGACTCGCATACAGAAGGCTATACAGGAATTTTCCAAGCGAGGCATCCGCAGCACCGTCGTGACTTCTGGTTCTCTGTGAAGGGTCAGGTGTTTCTTGCAGCAGTTCGACTGATGCCGCTATATAGTATAGATAATTGGTCGTTACAGGAATAGGATATAGATAGACTATCGGTGTTTTAACACCGCTATGGACCTCAAATTGCAGGAGTCTCGTGGGGAGACTGAGCAAGCAATGCTGAGGGTAGGCACAGGGGGCGGTGATGTTCCGGTGTTAACGTCACTAAATTATCACCCCAGAGGACGTGTGTTCTAACCGAACCACCAGCACCTGACCTTCCCCACTGGCAGCCCTTTGATTGGCCGCTCCCCCCCTTCCTGAAAATCTTATGCATATTCAATAGAAGGAAGTAAAAACGAAAAAGAGAAGAACAAGGTAAGTAAGTAATCTCTGTCTCTCATTGGATCAAGCGCTCGACCTTCATATGCGATGCGTGTCACCAAATAGGTTACTGCGACAACCGTTGTTTACCGAGGCAGAAAAGGAATGGAATAAAGTCATGGATGGCCAAACTAAGACCTAGCGTGAGGGCGTGAAAACTCTGATCCTATAGTTCACTTTAGTCCTCGGGATCAGTGTAATTGATTCTTAGAAGCACTGAATGCGTGACGTCCTGAGGCACCGTAGTAACAGCGACTCCAAATGGTTGACTGCCACCGCTTGGTGTCGTTGTGAGTCAAACAACCACTGCCGAAGCATAAATTTAAAATCAGCAAACTGGGAGTTTCCTTGAGATAACATTTATCCACAGCACCAAACAAATTTTGTGCTGAAACGATTATTTTTGACACAACTTGTCCATGTTCTAATATAAGTTACACCAGCACCCGTTCTCTTGAATCCCTTCCTCCTACCGCAGTCGTGCCAATTCCCTCTCTCCCTCCTGTCCCTATCACCCACATTTAGGTGGTTCAAGAGCAGAGAACTTTCAGTCTGTCGGGTGTTTCTTTTCTAGTGCGTCGGAGTTCACGGGAATTTATTAATTTCCTAACCCCTTTGCATATCATTGGTAGGATTCTTGTCTGAACGTCTCCATTTCGAGACACTGCTTGTAAGATAATTGTTTTTGATCCCCCTCTACCAGTTTTCAGATTTATTCTGTTCCCATCGAATGTTTTATCATCATTTTCTTCTCAACCTCTCCATGCAGATAGCTGAAGCGCTTAGCCAAATCGAGCCTACACAAACGCTGGTCGTATGTGCTGGCAAGCATGCACTATGCTACTTTCCACAACTAGTGGTAAGTTTCCCTACCCGAGCGCACCACATTGAGAGCCATAATTCTCTTTCGACTAACTTCTACCTTATTCTTGCCACAGGGATACTAAGTCCATCATTTCCTTAGTGCAAATATTCAACTATGGACTATCATTCTTTGTCTTACACTACAGGGTAATGAACAGCAGAAGGGGTCACGAGGATCTTCTGTTAAATCACGGGAACCAACACCCTAAGACCCAGGACTTGGAGTGGCGAACCACGTGAGGCCCCAATAGCTTAGGCCTGGTATATAAAGCCGGGCGATATCGAAGCTGCCTATCACCAGATTTAGGTTGTGATGACCGGGCTCAACACCCGGACCCAAAGCACGCCAATAACAGTTTCTTGAGCCGCCTGAGTATCAATCAGGTGCTATTTGTATTTTGCACGGGAGTATTTCCTTTGATTCGGTCAATCGGATCGTACACCCTTTGTATCGGGCTCTCTCTCTTTCTCCCAGTGCCAGTCAGCCATCCTAGCAAGTAACTCTGGAAAAGATTGCTTTCTTCATCATGAATGGTTTGAAATCGGGATGTTTCCCAGTCCTTGTCGAAACGCCTAATTATACTGTAGCATCTGTTGTGGCTCCCGAAGAACTATATTCTGATGGAAATTTTACCTCAGTTCACAGGCACAGGTTTGTAGCCAATTACCCAATTTTCTGTAGTTCGCTTCTCATAATTTGATGAATTGGCTGTGAGTCTTCAGGCAGCATTGTTTGATCCATCACAATGATCGTCGGAACAAGTACTCAGTGCTCCTAACTGGCACCAGTCCGTCATTTCTAATTTGTTTGGTTTACAAGTATCGTGTGCCCTTATTGTTATGCTTGCGTGAACTACATACCTTTTCACGTGATCAACACGTGGTATCAGTGAGATAAATACCCTTCTTTTCTTTGCGTGCCCAGGACTATCTAAAACAGTTTGACCAGGAAGCAAGCGGTTGCAACCCTATTAGATCCATTCCCGTTAAAAATGAAAGCAAATAACGTTGAATCTGGTTTGTCTATCCAAGTAGCCTGTTGGATTCACTTTCTTTTCCTGCTCTATCCTACCCCAAACTCCTAGCCGAACTCGCCAAGTGCGTTAAATTTGGCTCACCGTATTGTGCGTTCCTTGAACACAACCAAGTCTTCGACTTTCCCCTCTGGTTTGGTAAAAGCCCGACCAATCCGATCCAACACCATTCCTACAGAGTTTC